AAATGAATCTTAAAAAAAAAAATAGTTCATAGTTTCTCCAGTATTCACAGGGCCTTGATTGACCTTAGTTTCCATATACCAAGGTGACATGTATTGGAAAACATCTCCTCTAGACCTCTTGGGAAAAGCCTATCCGACCTTTTGGAGAGATCAGTCCTACACTTGCTAGTGAGTAAACTCTAGGCAACAAGTTTCTTCTCTTTTGTTTATGTCACTATGTAAAGTGCCTGGCTTAGAATGATGTTAGAATGCATCTTTGTAAGCACCATCCCCAGAAAGTTCACTCCTGTCCTTAGCCAACCCCCAACCCTCTTTATACATCACCAGGGTTCGTTTTACCTGTTATAAAATGTTACAGAATTGGAATTCATTATGGACTTCTTTGTGACTGAATCGCCTGGTCATTTTGAATTTATTGCCAGCCCATAACTAATCAGCACATGCATACCTGCATGTCCCCTTTCTGAAGGGGTAGTGGTTCCCTTGCACATGTTCCTTGGCCTAGCCTCACACAGCTCTACCTCCCAGAGTTGCAAACCATGGAAGTGAACACCAGCTAACACTAGCAGAGAACTTGAATCTATTCTACTGCTGTAACTCACAGGCCACCTGGGAGGGCCAGATGAGCTGCCAGGAACACAGTAAACCATTTACCTTTGTAGAGCTGGAACTGGCAATGAGCAAAGCATACAACTTGTCTGATGGCAACCAGTACAACAGACAAGAAGAAAGTTGGAGATGCAGGGCTGGGCAGGTTGCAGTTTTAAGGGTGGTGCACAGGAAAGCTGAGGGATTTGGGCCAAGTGGTTTGCTGGAAGAAGGGCATTCAGGCAGATAGAACAGTCAGTGCAAAGTCCCAGAGGTGGAACTACATGAAAAGAACAGCAGGAAGGCCTGAAGGATTGGGATGGCAAGGGAGGAGAGGAAGAAGTGGAGATCCAAGAAAAGGGTAGGTGGTCCCATAGGATACCACAGAACATGTGGAGACAACAGCTTTCACCCTGAGTGCCTTGGAAGCTGCTGGGTCTGGAACAGCAGAGGGATAGGATCCCTCCGGTATCATTCCTTAATTCACCCTCAATCCCCACTTTACTTCGGCAACCCTACCTAAATCTAACTCTGTCTGCACCTCCCACCTCTGTGAGTTGGGGAAATTGAAAATAATAACACAATCTTAATATTCTTCACTCATGCAGTGCTCTCCCATCCTGTGCAGCTAGATCATCACTCACATCTTTCTTAAAACCTCCAACATTTCCCCCACACTCCACTGTGTTCTCAGCCCATGTCCTTGCTTTTTTTTCTCCACAAGAAAATAGTCACTGTTGTCCACATTTGCCACTATCACAACCTCAAGCACTCATGCCCACATTGCTTGCCTGCCACTCACTGATGCCCCTCTCTGACACCCCCTGTGCCCACTTTCCTCCGCCCCTCCAGAGCTATGACCTCCAGCCACTACATTTAATCCCCTGGTGACCTCAGCCAGTCCTAGCACTTGAAAGATCATGAAAACACCGAGCACATCTGATTGCCACTGGCTTCTAGCCTGGAATTCTTCCCTAGAGTTCAGACACATCCATGCATGTAGGCGACAGCTTCCCTTAGCGGTTTTGTATTCCAGGGGTCCAAAATAACCTCCCTTGGGCCTCCCTTGGCGCAAGGGGTTAAGATGCAACTTATGAAGCTGTCCGCAGCCACTACAGAACAAGTTCGATCCCCGGCCGGCCAGAAGGCAACCCACACGGCGCAGCAGACCTCTCCTGTCTTGCCTGCCCCCTGCTCTCCTCAGCAGTGTATTTCAGTCGACCTGCCTGTTCTACTTTCTACTCTGTCTCTGGTGAATCCTCTCACCCCCTGCACCTCAGGCCTGTACCCCAGTTCTTGTATGCATAAATAAATAAATCTTAAAAAAAAACAAAACGGTTTCCCTGGGTGGCACGGGGGGTTAAGCACCACACTATGAAGCAATCCGCAGCCTCTGCAGCATGAGTTCGATCCCCGGCCGGCCAGGGAGCAACCCTTATAGTGAGGCAGACCTCTCCTGTCTCGCCTGCTGCTCCCCTCAGAAGTGTATTTCAGTCAGTCAGCCTGTTCTGCTCCCTACTCTGTCTCTGGTGAATCTTCTCATTACCCCCCCATCTCTGGCCTGTACCCCAGCTCTTGTATGCATAAATAAATAAATCTAAAAAATAAAAACAAAAAAAAAAAACAAAAAAGAACTTCCCTGTGAAGGACCTTCCTGTCTGAATCCCTTCAGATCCACTTTGTTTCTTTGCATCTTTGCCAGAGCTTTGTATACTTTTGTACAACAGCCTGCCTGCTCCTACAATTCTTCGATTACTAACCTTTGGCTATGACTACACTGTCAACATTATTTACCTACACACTCAGAAGTGCCTGGCAACTTCCTTTTCCCAGGTGCAACCTTCAGTCTCCAATTTACTAGTGCGGGACAACTCATCCTACAGAGCTCCCTACGAGTTCACGGGGCAGGACTCTGCCTGAACTGGCTCTCTCGAAGTCCTGCACCCTCCAGCTTCTTTGGTCCTTCTGTTTCTTTCCCATGTAGTAAGTCAGATCAGGTCCATAATCAAATAACCAAACTTCACAGGCTTTTCATCACTTTCCCAAGACCTCAGAGTCCTGTTCACCATCAACACATGCCTGGACTAAAGCCTCTTCACTGATCGCCCTGCTTCTACTTCACTCAGAGGAAGTTAGTCAGAGGGCTTTCAGCATGCATGAAAGACTGAACCGTAAATGCTGTTACTAATATACTAATACAGCATTAACATGTACATGTCCCCTGGACTAGGCACTGTGCTTAGCCCTTTCTTTATATTCACTAAACTGTTCTGTGCCTGCATAGTAAGTACTCATCTTCAATAGGCTCATGGAAGCTGTGACTTCAAGCAATGTAACATATAATGAAAACAAGTCCTCAAATAACATCCTCTGGGATTTTTTCTTGTTCTCATATGAACGTGAACAGGAAGTGGGCCCCACTGGTGTTGCAAGGGATTAAGATGCAGCACTATGAAGCTACCATAGCCACTGCAGCAGGAATTCAATCCCCGGTCAGGGAGATGATCCACATGAGGCAGCAGACCTCTTCCTGGCTTGCCTGTTGCTCCCCTCAGCAGTGTATTTCAGTCAATCCACCTGTTCTGTTCCCCACTCTGTCTCTAGTGAATCCTCTCATCCCCCACACCTCTGGCCTGTACCCCAGTTCTTGTATGCATAAATAAATAAATCTTTTAAAAAAAATGAACAGGAGGCCAGCTATTTTTTTAAAGATTTATTTATTTATGCATGTAAGAACTGGGGTACAGGCCAGTGGTGTGGGGGGTGAGATCTCTGGTGAATCCTCTCACCCCCACTCAGAGTGGGGAACAAAACAGGCAGATCTACTGCTGAGAGGAGCAGCAGGCAAGTCAGAAGAGGTCTGCTGCGCCATATGGGTAACTCCCTGGCTGGGGATCAAACTCGTGCTGCAGTGGCTGCGGATAGTTTCATAGGTTGCGTCTTAACCCGTTGCACCACCGGGAAGGCCCGGGAGGCCAACGTTAGGATGAGAGGGGAAGGCTCTTTGAGGAGGTGATCCCTGATCTGTAAGGAAGAGGAACTAGTCAGAGGGAGAGCCAGGTGGGTTGCATTTTATGCATAAAACCTGGGGTCAGGGTGTCTGGATCAGAGAGCAAGTGGGAAGAGATAGGGCACAGCCAGGGGGCTGCAGTGAGGTGGGGGCCCTTGAGGGTTCTTGAGCAGATAAGGGTGTGCACTCAAATTTTCAAAGACAGGGCCTCCTGGTGGCAGTGTATTTCGTCTGTCTGTCTGTTCTGCTCCCTGCTCTGGCTCTGGTGAATTCTCTCACCCTCCTGAGCTTCTGACTGTACCCAGTGCTTGTATAAATAATCTTTAAAAAAATTTTTTTTTTCAAAGGTATCCTTCTGTCCCTGAGAGAGGGAACAGTGAAGGAGGGGAAAGGTTGGCGGAGCCAAAGATCAGGGTGAGGGATAGCGCTGGTCCAGTGAGAGACAGGATGGGAGTAGGGCTAACATGGGTGGGGGTAAGAAAAAGAACTCAGAGGATCAAGGTGAACAACCCTGGAGCCCAGAGAGCATCAGCAGAAGATAGATTGATGGCTTTGGAGTCAAAGAAATGGGTTCAGTGCTTTCCCAGCCCCAGTCTCTTCATCAAATCTCCCTGCCTTAAGCTCATCCTCTAAAAAACGAGTAATAGAAGTGTGGTATGGGGCCTCCCCAATGGCCTAGGGGTTATCTCAGTGCTATCACCGCCATGGCCTGGGTTCAATCCCTGGCCAGGGAGCTGACCCACATGGTGCAGGAGACCTCTCCTGCAGTGTATTTTGGTGCTCTCACCCGTGGCTCTCCTCAGCAGTGTATTTTGGTGGATCCACCTGTTCTGCTCCCTGTTCTGTCCTGGTGAATCCGCTCACCCTCCCACCTCTCCCTGCACCTCAGGCCTACACTCCAGTTGTTCTGTGCAAAAATAAAATTTAAAAAAATGTGGGGTATGGTAGTCTATAGGGAGTACTCACAAAGTGGTGATTATTTAAGAAATAACTCCAGAGGCGGGGACTTAGGGGTGAGAAAGATAAAGGTAATCATGGGGCAGACGGCCCACTGTTGATGGTGACAACCGGCGCCAGGGGGCAGCAGTGAACATCCAGGTTCCTTGGCTCCAGGGACAAAGCTGGCCTGGGAACACAAGTCCAGGCCACGTGACTAAGGAGGTGTGTGTGTGTTGGGTGGGGGGGAGGTGTTCAGGCACCACTGCCTCCTGGACTCTAGGGATCAGAGCCTAAAAAGGGGCATTTGTTCAGGGAAACCTGAGCCAGTAGAATGTAGGCTGAGAAGGGACGCTAGTAGATACTTCCTGCTTTCCCTCCTGCCTTCCCCTGCGGAGAGTGACCCCAATTCAGTGCATCCCAGAGCACTGGAAGCTGGGGTCGCCCTTGCCAGCCTCCCCCTTTATCCCACAAATACTGCAGGCCCAGGCTCTGTACAGTAGGCACTTTATTAGTGGTTGGAGTGCAATTTCCACGCGGGATGTGCAGACAGAATGGAGGTGGGAGGGCTGGCAGCAGGCACAGGAAATGGAGACCCCAGGCCCAGAGTTCTCCCTGAGATCCTGGAACAATGCTGATGAGCAAATACGTGAAGTCAGAAGAACTTGGAATATGGCAGAGGGGGAACCCGGAGATCAGGTCCCCTGAGTTTTAATAAATTTTGGCAAAAGAATCCTCAAGGTTAGGAGTCTGGACAGGGTGACTCTGGTTTGCCCACAGCATCTTCCCCTACTCCTTCCCTTGAAATCGTCCCTTCGGTAGATCCGTTTTCTCTCTCACAAAGAGAGCTGTGTCAGTTCTCTCTCACAACTCCTCCAGCCAGTCAGCAGGTTTTCATTAAGCAGTTATTAGTGGGCTCCTTCCTCCTGCGCTGGTCTGTCCACCAGTCTGTTCCCAGCTGTCCTCCCCCACAGACACTCTCCCCCAACCTGAGCGCACACACTCCCACCTGAGCCACACCCAGCGCTTAGGGAACAATGGATGGTACTCCTCAGCCGTCCCATCTCTGATTTTGAGACAGAAAAAAGCTAACAGACTCTTCACTACACATCCAGGTTAAAAAACAAACAAACAAAAAACAAATGCCTGTGATGTCCAGTAAGCCAGTTCAGTCTTGGAGAAGGGCCTTGGTCCTGGCCAGAGCAGGCATGAGCAAACAGGGGCACTGGGAGTCAAAGCTCACTGCGACCACCACTCTGAAGACACAACACTGTCCCATTGTAAGCAGGGGGCAGGAAGTTTCGGGGAACTGGCAGACATCAGTGGCCTCAGCGGACTTCTCCCCATCTGAGCCAATGAGGGTACAGTGACTCAATTTGAAGTCCTAGGGGGCTACTGTGAAAATTCTGCCTCTTGGCACAGGGAGGAGATGCCCCAAGTCTTCTAGGTCCCCAGAAACTGGTGGTAACTGGATGATGGGAAGACAGGGACGGCAGTGATAGGACTTCGGATCAGTCCAACAGGCTGGGGGTTTGAACCCAGCCGCCCAGCACCCAGTGTGAAACTTTGGAGGGTGGGGGACCTAGGCCTTTACGATTCTGCCAGCTTCTTGTTGGTCTTGTTCAAGAGCTTCTTGAGGTTGGAAGACATGAAGTAGGGCCTCTCAGTCGAGCCATCATTCCTCTCCAGATCCTCCACTGCGGAGAGAGGCCCCAGAGCAGGTGGCATGAGGGAAGCCCACAGGCACGGGCCGCCAGGGACAGGGTGGGCAGATGAGGGGCACAGAGAAGCCTCAGAGGGTTAGGAAGCAAGACATACTGGGACTGGAGAGGGCAGACCCTAGTGGGCTCAGAAACAAGTGAACACACACTCCCCAGTCCCAAGCAAAGAAGCCCCACATGCACCCCCGGGTCTATAAAGAGGAAACAAGGAGGCCTCTGGTCCCCAACCAGCCTCCCTCTCTATGCCTCCACTTCAGCCTGTTTTCCCTCCTCCGCACTCCCCTTCAACAGGATGTCTCTCAGCTCGGGCGACATGAAGTAGGGTCGCTCCTGAGAGCCGTCATTCCTTTCCAGGTCCTCACCTGGGCTCCCCCCAGGAACCGGCAGGGGGAAAATGGGGTGATCGGGAAGGGAGGGGAAGAGGGAGGCAGGGAAGAACAGGGAAGCCAGCAGGCATGGAGGAGAGGAAGAGAAAAAGAGAAAACAAAAAAACAGACAGATGGAGAGACCAGAGTTAGTGGCAGCCACAGATCCCCCCAACAAAGCCAGAAACTGAAGCCGGGGCCCAGGGGCAGAGTGTTCTAGCTGCAGCCTGGACCAGGGATGGAGCAGCTTCAAGCACAGTGAGGAAGCTGAAAGGGCATGCCAGGGCCCTAGGACGAGGGGCAGCCAATCCCTAGAGAAGCTGCGGGGCACCCATAAAGTAAATGTGTATCTCCATCAGAGGGAGATGTTATGACCATAGGGGAGAAGGGGTCAGGGCCCGGCAAGGTCTGGGGTGAGGGGTCACTCACAGAAGCAGAGGAACAATGTGTCCACACACATGCCGTAGACACTGAAGAAGCCATGGGCAATCAGATAGGAGCCGATGATCACGGTCTAAGCAAAGGGAGTAAATCGTTTTCACCCCAGGCCCTGCCCAGGATGAGACCCTGCCAGCTGGGATCATGTCATTCCTTTGTTGATAAGCCTGCTCAGAATAACACCCTAGTGCTTCAATCCTGCTGGCAGTGCCCTGCCTTCCATCTGACACTCCTTACTCCTTTTATCCTAGGGCCTTTGCACATGCTGTTGCCTTGAATTAATCTAGTTTATGCCCCTCATGGTTCTGCCTTCAGTTTAAATATTAAGTCCTGAGGTGCCACCTGCTTCAGGAAGCCACCTTTGACACCTAGAGTCTATTTATGCTCTCAACACTGTGCACTCTTCTCCTGGGGTCTTTGTCCATATACAATTTTATTCACTGCTCTTGTCATGGTCCCTGATGTCGCCTGCATGTCCTTCAGATCTTAGATTTGACATCATTCCCAGTGAAGCTTAGGGCAGTACAGATTTTATGCCCACATCCCTATTAGACGATGTCTATTCCATTTACTGCTACATTCCTAGCAACTGACCTTGGTAGAAACCAGATATATATTTATTGATTGAAGTGAATAGACCTTAGAGAAAGAAAGTAACGCTCAAAGTTATGCACCTTAGAACTAGAAAATACTGAACTAAGACAAAATCTAGGTCATTGGGGTCTAAGACCTGTACTCAGATTCCCTGCTATTTTTAGGGTAATGACCCAACCCCTCCACAGCCCATCATCTCTAATCCTTATCTCCACCTTGACCCCACACCTGTCACCCTAGTTTCCTCACTGCTCCTGCCGTGGCCCCACTTCAGGGCTTCTGTACTTGTCCCCTCTACTGCATGTTGTCTGCTTGTCCGTCAGACACTCGCTCCTATATCACTTCCACGGTGAGGCCACTTGGGCTCCTATACCTGCCCAAATCCTCCACCACAGGCTTGGACATTTCCTCCCCATGGCATGTGTGCATGCACCTGTTTGCAATCACACCCACCCACCCATATCGTAATGTCTCTTTACCACTAAACTATAAGATCTCTGCCCCTCCTGGAACACAGTCGATGCTTAATGTATGTTTGTGGCCTGAACACATAATCAGTTCTCCACCTCTGACCACCATCCAGTCAAAGGAGACCAGGCTAGTCCCAATACCTCCTTCTTTCCAGAATCCCACCCATCCCCAGAGGTCCATACCAGTATAGGGACCCAATAATAATTGAGAGTTGGTGCTGTGTCCTGCACGATCCTGATACGGTGGGTGAAGAAGAAGAAAGCCAGGATTCCTGGAAAGGAGCAGGAAACCAAGATAGTTGAGGGTTCTGGCAAAGAAAGTAGTTCTCGGGCCTCCCTGGAGGCGCAAGGGGTTAAGCATAGCACTGTGAAGCTATCCACTGCATCATGAGTTCAATCCCCGGCTGGCCAGGGAGCTATCCACATGTGGCACCGCAGACCTCTCCTGTCTCACCCCCTTCTCCCCTCAGCAGTGTGTTTCAGTGGATCTGCCTGTTCTGCTCCCCACTCTTTTTCTGGTGAATCCTCTGACCCCTGCACCTTTGGCAGGTACCTCGGTTCTTGTATGCATAAATAAATAAATCTTAAAAAAAAAAATAAGTAGCTCCCCCAAAAGCTGACACTAATTACAAAAGACAAAGGGACCCAACAGTTATGCACAAGTCACCCCAACAGGCTCCCACAGCCCAACAAGCTCCCACAGCCCAACAGGCTGGGTGAGCAGAACTCACCCACACTACCCACGATGAGAAGTTTGCCCAACAGGAAGAGGAATTCGGTAACTTTGTCTAGGACAGCCACTCTGCAAGGGAAGGTGAGGAACAGGTGTGAAGTGAATGTGGGCCCGGGAATTAGGAGCGGGCAGGGGTGGGGCGGTGGTGTTTCCCTGACCTGATGATGTTTCTCATGAGCAGGAAGAAGGCGTTCCTGGCTGAGGTACAGAAGTTGGTGCCGTAGATGGCAATCTAGGTGGGGAGAGGGAGGGCGGGAGGGAAGGTCAGGCCTACTGTATGGGAATGAGGGCTCCTCTCACTTAGCAGGAGCCCCAGGACTACTCACCATGATGTAGGCATTCCTGTTCAGGAATTTGATGAACTTCTCCAGGCACCAGAAACAACATTTGAGACAGGTCATGAGAAATTTGGCAAATTTGTTCTCCGCAGCTGGGAGAGAAGGAAGGGATGCTGAGATGAGGGGAGACCTCATCCTAGTAGGGAGCCCCCCCACCTTCTCATTACATGCATTTGCCATAGTCCAGGACTCCTGGAAACCACCTTCTCAAGGAAACAGGGAGAAATTTGATAGAAGGCTCTGAGGGCCCTACCTCGCTTGCAAGTAGGAATCAACCTCAATCCAGGACACTCAGCCCTGACCCCAATAAGGGATCTCATCTTGAGGCCTCTTTCAGCAGAGCCCCCAAGACAGGACCCAATCACCAGCCCCACTACTGCCTGAAGCAAAAGCCCACCCATGCCACCAGCTTGGCCACACCCCAATGTACAATCACACCCAGTCTCACAGCCCCTGCAGCACAAAGAAGCTAGTCTTAGCCCTGCCCTCCTCCTCAGCTCAACCCTCTCTTCAAGAACCAAGGTCTCTTGGCCTCACACCCTCAGCAGGGAGAACTCCACCTGAAGGGTACCCTCAGCAGGTCTCCCATCAGAGGAGCCACTCACCCAAGCCCCTCAGCTCCACCCTCTTAGGTGGGATCCAATCAATCTTTCACCATTTTGTCCTGGCCCCAAACCAGAACCAATTTAGGTTGGCTCTTCAACACTGCCCCACCACACATGGGCCACCCCCCACACCCGCTGTGGAATAAGTGAGCCCCACCTTTCAGGCGCTGATCCAAGTACTCCAGCATCACTCGGATGATCTGCACTATGGCCAAAATGAGGGCACCAAAGGCCAAAGAGCCTGTGTGGTACCTGTGGGCAGAGTGGGTGGTGAGTGGCTGGGCCAGGCTTCCTGTCCCCTATCTCACCCCCACCTCCTGCCCACCCGGGGCCATACCTGAGGGCTCTGCTAAAGGCAGAGAAGAGTGGGAAGGCAGGAAGATCCTCAGGTTTGTGCAGAGCCCAGTAGTAGGAGGCGAAGGCCCCAGCCAACGTGACCTGGCCTAGAGCCAGCACGAAGTTGGCCAGCCAGAAGAACATGAAGGCATTGAAGATTTGAAGGCCCAATAGGGCTCGATGGTAACCTGACTCACCACCATAGAAAGCAAACTGGCAGTAGGCAGTAGGGCACTGGTGGGATTCATTAGAGGCAAAGGTCTGTGGAAGAAACATAGGGCCCACTTATAAGAGTCCATAGTTCAGTGTGGGCTGTGGAGGCCAGGGTCGGGTCACGAATCCATGGAGTGCACAGGGACAGAAGTGGCAGAGATCAGGATGAAGATCACAGGGATGACGGATACACAGAGGATAGTGTCTTATAAAAGACAAGAAAGGGAGGAGTTCTAGAGGCAAGAACTAGATAGGGTTAAGTGAGGGGTGTAGGGGTAGGAAATGAAGGCAAGGGAAACAAAGGTAGGTGATTATGCACTGTAGGGGGAGGTATCTGCCACATTGGCTCTCTTCCCCACCACGACCCCCATACCCAGCACAGGGCATACGGCAGGTACCAAAATGTTGCTGAATGCTCCCTAAGGGGAAACGAGAAGTTTCAGATCATCTGTGGGTTGCTGGGGTAACAGCCACCCCCCACCTCCAGACACCCACCTCTGGGTCACAGGTTTGCCCAACAGCTGGGCAGGCAGCATCACTAAAGATCTTATAGACGGCTTCATTGGAAGTGGACAGGAAGCTGGCAGCTCATTAAGGAAGCTAAGTTCAGGGATTAGGAACCCCAGGGGTAGGTAGAAAAGGATCTCTCCCTCCATCAGGTCTGGCCCTGCCCAGCTACACATCATTTCTGGGCAAGTTTGGCCCACAGCCATGCCTACGGTGGGGAACTGGCACCAGACAAGGGATACACAGCAGTGCTAGCCCAGTAGGCGATGCAAAGGCACAGCAGGAGGAAGGTGACCAGTGGGTACAGCATGGAGCACATCACATATCCCACAGCTCTGTGGAGAAGCAGAGACAGGCATTAGGGCCTGAGTAGTCCCTAGCTCAGGCCCCTGGCCTCCTGGCACCTACTTGCTGGCTTCTCTGATGAGTGCAATAGCGATGAGAATTCTCTTCCGAAGAAAGATGAGCAGTAAGATGATAATAACCTCAAGGATGCTGAGAATGATCACTGTGGGAAGCAGAGGATGGTTGAGTCTGCCAGTTGCCTGGGCTTCCCACTCCTTCCCAGGTCAGGCAAGAACGTTAGCTTCAGACTCACTGAAGGCCATCCAGGTCTGCCGCAAATGCAGGTACACGCGGAAATCTGTCTGGAAGCCGAGGTCCATCACGGAGATGTCAGAGCCAGCCTCTCCACTCAGTCGGGCATACTCCATGTAGCAGTGAAATATTCCTGAGCAGGGGAACCATCATTCCGTGACTAACCTCAGTCTCTGGACTGCTTTCCCCAACACTGCAAAGCAGGTATAATTACCCGCATTTAAGAGGAGCACAAACCAAAGCTGAGAGGGGCTATCACTGAGTCCTGGCCACAGGGCCTTTGCACTTGCTATTCCTACTGCCTGGTACATTCTCTCCCTGAATGAATCCCACACATCCTCCTGTCTCTGCCCAAATGTCATCATCTCAGGAGACCTTCCAGAACCCTGCCCCCATTTAGAATCATGCCTGCCCACATACCAACTTCTTATTACCCACTTCTCTGCTTTGACATCCCAGAGGCTTTCCTCATTTATATGCTTCTTTTCCATCTTTCTCACGTTCTCAGGAACACAAGCTCCATGAGAATAAAGACTGATCCTGATTTAGTCATGCCTATAAGCCCAGGACCTAGAAAACTGCTCAGTACCTAGTAGGCACTCAACACGTGTTGGGAGAACAAATAAGTAAGTGAATAAACATTAGGATGCTATGTGGCCTGAGCCTTTCCTCTGACCCCTGCAGAAGCATTAGAAATTTTCAGTATTCTCTTTACCTCTTGTAGAATGAAAAAAAAAAAAAAATTAAGACACCCAAAATGCCAGCATGCAGCTAAAAACCACTATTAACATGAATATTTTAATATCCGTGTCCTCAACTTAAGATGCAGATCAGATATCTTTCTTCCTGGAAAGTTTAAATGAATAATCAGAACATGAAGCACTGGTATTTGAGGATGAGGACTGCCTCTGGGTTCCAAAGGACTAAGCTTTATAAGCCCCTTCACCCATCTCATCCGCACACTGTCTATCTTCTCATTAAGTCTCCTAAGTAGTAAATACTAATTATCCCCACTTAACAGAGGGAGAAATTGGGACATGGGGAGACTGAGTCACTTGCCCAAGGTCTGAGAGAGAAGCATTGGCAGAGCTAGCATTTAAAACCTGGACTTTCTGGTGCCAGTGCTAAGTGCTAACCACTGGGCTAAGAAGACTACTTAAGAACGCCTTTGCTTTCCAGGCCCCGGTTTTGAAGACTAATGATTTCATCTATGCCCCGCTGACGAACACTGAGGTCGTTTCCAAGCATCTGCTCTTATAAACAACACAGAGATGCCAAGTAAAAGACAGTGTATGCCTGATGGTTTAGGATAAGATATTTGATGGGCCATTGCCATGGGCATTTTGAAGACTGTGGGGAGGGGAGAGTTCTCTGATGGGGCAAACGTACCATAGCCCAGCACCAGAATCACCATGACGATCATCACCCAGACCATAATTCCAGCCAGGAAGCGGAGCAGGACGATGAACAGGAGGCTCATCACCATGGCAATGACCAGGCCTCTGGGAATAAAACAGAACATGAGCACACTCAACCCTCCAACCAGCTTTAGACCGAGCAGCCCAGGGAAGGCCACCTTCCCTCCCTACTTACATGACAATCCAGTACCAGGATACTGTGTAATCTTCAAATATCTGCATGGCCAGCTGCCTTGCCTCCAGGATCCCATTGGCTTTCCTGGGGGAAGGCAGGTGGATGAGGTTCATGTCAGATCTCTCTGATTGGGCCAGCCCCAGGGGATACTCTGCCCCACCCAGGTAAACAGACATCGGTGTCAGGGGCCAAGCAACTCACTTGGCACCCTCCACTAACTCCGTGATGTTTTTCCGAGCGCCGTGCCCATCCTCATAAGTTGTCTCATTGCCCACCATGAGGACTCCCTTGTGAGCATGGATGGCTGGGAAGCACCGCCGAGCCACTGCATGGAGCAGGGGATGGCAACAATCAGGCTGAACCCCTGAAGTCACCCCACCCCTCAGCGAAGTTCACAGGAACCAGGACTCACGAGGTTTGCTGGGGATGAGGACAGCAGGGCAGTCGCCATCCCGAAGCACCTTTGCCACACCCTGCCAAGATGGGGGGGGGGGCAGTGCTTAGTTCCCTCAGGTCAGCACCCAGGCCCTGCCTGGTCTCCCAGAGTAGCTGCCCACTGACCTTGTTGCCCTGGAAGCCAGGCACACAGAACTTTTTGTAGTACTCAAAGTCCTGGGATTTGATAGCATTCAGGTAGGTAAGGTAACGGTCAGGACATTTCTCCACGCAGATCTGGGGGTGAGGGAAGCCAGGAGGCAGGAGTTACGTGGGAGTTAGGACAGACAGAGATCCCAGTCCCCACTCTTCACCAGGGGAGAGTAAAAGGGCTGAGAACAACGCTGTCACCACAGGAGGTAAAGGAACTGGGAAAGGGCTGCAGTTACCTGAGGAGTGGGACACTGGAATTCCAGCAGGACCAGGGGGCTGGCGCACTTCACGATGTTGAAATAAAACAGGTAGGGTTTGTTCCTGGGGTTGGGGAAGGGAGATGGAAACTATCAAGGTATCTCAAGACTATCTTAATGAAAACAACAACAATGGGTACTGGCTCAACTAGCCATCACAATAGCCCCATTTCGCAGACTAGAAAAACAAGCCCAGAAAGGCTGACTCCTCCCCAAGGTCATACAGCTAGAGAGTGGAACAGTGCTGTGAGAACTCACTGCTTTACCTCATCAGTTCACTGCCATTTAACACCAGGTCCTGAAATGTTTCCTCTCTCACACACTGAAAAGTGGACCTCCAGAAGACAGTATGCTTAATGTATCATTTAGTGCTGTGTCCCCAGAGCCTAGGGGTGATGGGAGTTTTATAGCTACTTGTAGACTGGACTAATGACTGGATGGACGTGGGGGAAATCTAGAACCTTCTCGGTGCTTAAGAAGCCATCCTGCATACTCCTCCCCAGTCCCACCAGGCCCCGAGAAGCCAGACTCACGCATTTTTTGTGCCCTTCTGCCCGCAGAACTCGCCTCGGCTATCAGTGGGATAGATCACCTTTCGAGGGTCCCCATGAGTCCAGGCTGTGGAGGGATTTAAGGGCACTGAGGTGCTGCCACACCTTAAAGCCTGCCTCACTTCTGCGCCAGAGGCTGTGGCCCGCCCTGAAGCCCCAAGTCCTGCCCCCTTGTCCACTCACCTATGATGCCTACAGCCACATAGCCCACAATGGCCAGGAGGAGGAACACGCAACAAATTATATCTGTGCAGCCCCTAGGAGCAAGGGACAGCATCAGGGTGGGATTTTCAGTGTACTGAGTATCAAGGACCCATCCTGCTCAGTACACATACCCACCCCAGAGTGCTAACTGGACACATGTTCCTGCTTACATTTTAAATTTTAACACCTAATGCTACATTGTCTTCAAAGTAGTAGAGTGCAAAGCTCAATTCTCTTTTGACAGAGTACCCATTTCCCCACACCTTTTTAAGCAGTAGGTATTAACATTTAAAAGCTTTTCAGGGGCCTCCCTGGTCGAGCAAGGGGTTAAGCACCGCACTATGAAGCAATCCACCAGTTGCTTAGGCAGTAAGAGTTCGATCCCCAGCCAGCCAGGAAGCAACCCAGATGGTAGGGCAGACCTCTCCTGTCTCGCCTGCTGCTCCCCTCAGCAGTGTATTTCAGTCTGCCTGCCTGTTGTAATCCCCTCTCACCCTCCACATCTCTAGCCTGTACCCCAGCTCTTATATACACAAATAAATAAATCTTTAAAATAAAAGCTTTTCAGACCATTTTATATCACAAAATATGAACATTTCCAGCCTAGACTCAGGCCATGAAAAAAATATATAAATACGGTAAAATTTTAAAACATATAAACAACAACAAAAAAACCCCAAAGCTCTTAGATTATGAGGTTGGGGAAGTGATTATGAGACCAAAATGGTGGTCATCAGAGAGGAAAGAAGGAAGGAAGGTCATCAGAGAGGAAGGTCATCAGGTAAAGGGGAGTCAATTGTATGGCAGTAAATGGAAATCAGACTTTTGGGGGATCATAATATTGCATATACAGATGTCAAATTATAATGGTGAAGCCTATCTATTATAAATCAATGCTACCCTAATAAATTAAAAAAAAAAAAAACCTGCAAGTTTCACCCATACTGAAATGTATACAATAAGGAAATAATCCCCCCACATAAACTCCCCTCTATAAGATACCCCTGTTAATGATTTCTTGTGAGTCTTTGGTTATTTATTAGGTACAAATGTTTTCAAATATTTATTTTTTTTGTTAACTCAAGTGACATTATGTTACACCCACTGTTGTTTGTTTTTTTTTTTAAGATTTATTTATTTTTTATTTTATTTTTTTAAAAAGACTTTTTTTTTAAGATTTATTTTTATTTATGTATACAAGCACTGGGTACAGTGAGAAGCATGGGAGGGTGAGAGAATTCACCAGAGCCAGAGCGGGGAGCAGAGCAGGCAGAAGGACCGAAGCACACTGCTGAGGGGAGCAGTGGGCGGCAGGAGAGGTCTACGCGCCATGCAGGACCCTCCTCCGGTGGCCGGGGAGCAGCCGGGCATCGAACCGGCGCTGCAGAGGCTGCGGGTAGCTTCGCAACCCAGCGCTCAACCGCTGAGCCACCGGGGAGACCCAAGATTTATTTATTTATGCATACAAGAATTGGGGTATGGGCCAGAGGTGTGGGGGATGAGGGGTGAGAGGATTCACCAGAGAGAGCAGGGAGCAGAACACGCAGAGCTACTGAAATACACTACTGAGGGGAGCAGCGGGTGAGAGGTCTGCTGCACCATGTGGGTTGCTCCCTGGCTGGTAGGGGGGTGGGGGGATCCAACTCCTGCTGCAGAGGCTGCAGGATAGCTTCACAGTGCTGTGCTTAACCCCCTGCACCACCAGGGAGGCCCATCTAGTTTCTTTGGTAATTGTATTTCAAAATAATAGACCAAAGTGGCACATTCAGGAGCAACCTGCCTGAACTACATCAGAACAAACATTTAAAAAATTCATTATTTTCAAATTCCTTCCTAAAAGGACTGCACCAATCGGTTTCTGAGCCAAAATAAGTTATAATTTTTTTTTTCATCTCTGCCAATCTGAGATGGGGAAATTCTGTTTGGTTATTGTGTTAAATTACATTCTTTTTCAGTGAATTTGAGCATTTTTCCATAACTTCGTTGTCCACAGTATTTCTTGCTCTATAAATTACATGTTCCAGTCTTTTGCCTAAATTTTTTAAAGTTCTTTGTAAGAACTCTTAGTATATTAAGGAAATTAGTCATCTCATTTTCAAATTATAATTAGCACTACTTATTTGGAGAACAGATGGGGGTTGGGGTGGAGTTAGCAAGACACCTCCCCCTTACCTCCAGGAACCCAGCGCCCTTACCTGTTGTAAATGGGTCCTTTGAAGGTGGGGTCATACTTCTGAGGTGATCCTGAAAATCAGCAAGATTGAGCTGCATGGGCCACAAGAGCTGGACCGAGAAGGGACGGCGGGAGCCCAGCACATTCCAGACGCCCTCTAGGGGTGTTTTTGGCCAAGAAGTGAGTAGGACTCAGAGACTTGGTGGATTTTAAGCTTCAGTCCAACTCTAGGTGACCACACCCAAGCCCCCAGTCGGAACAGGTCAGGATTGGAGTCAAAAATAATAAAGAGCCCCAAGTACCACCTGGGTTACCCAGTGGGGAGGGGACTGCAGTGTTGGCCGCCAGGGAACCAGGCAGAGACTGTAAGGTCCCAGGAGGATCTGAGCCAAAAACATCTCTCAGGGGTACCGGGGAGGGGGTATAAGCACAGGCTCTCCGGGTGAAGGGGCTGGAGGGACCTCAGGGGGAGGCTGGGGGCCGGGAGCTGGCAGGTGATAAAGTGGGAGCTACAGAGAGATCTGCTATTCGGATCCCCCCACTTTGCCTACCCCTCTCCTCGGTCCTCCCGCCGTCCCCTCCAAGCGGCCAGGCCCGGGGGCGGGAGGAGAAGGCTGCCTACCGTGTTTCCCGTAGTAGTGCTGCTGCTCGCCCCCCATCCCAGCCGGCGTCCAGCACCGAAAGCCACCCGCCTGCTTCCCCCACCTCCGCGGCCCACGGGTTTGAACGAGCGGGTGCGCGTCCCGAGCGAGGGACCGACAGCCGGGCGGCCGCTCCTCCCAGCTTCCAGGCGGGCGGGGCGGCCCAAACCGGTCTGACCGGCCCCTGCGGTGCGCAGCTCGGGACTGTCGGGACTGAGGGATGGAGGGAGGGAGGAAAGGGCCGGGCGGGCCGGCAGCTGCTCCTGCCACTCACTCGCTGGCCCGATTTAGCCTGCCCTGCCCCCCACTCCCACCCAGCCCCCACCAAGGCCACTCTGTGGCTTCCCTCAGTGGGCCGGGCCCGCCACCTGACCCGCCCGCTGACAAGCCTAGATCACCTTCCATCCCTGGAAGAGGGCCTGATCTTGCCCCATTCTCCAAGTGTGGAAACTGAGGCACGGGGAGGTACATTTCCTGCCCAATGAGCAAAAACAGCAGATCGCTGAATCCAAACAACTACTTTTAGAGTATTTAGGCCGAAAACTCTCAAACTAGTGAATGTGTTTTATTTTGGCCGGCATTAAAAAAAATTAAATACCAACAGTTAAGCACTGGAAGAGTTCCTAATAAAATCCCCATCTTTGGGGCCTCCCCGGTGGCGCAGCGGTTGAGCACTGGGTTGCGAAGCTGCCCGTAGCCTCTGCAGCACCGGTTCAATCCCCGGCTGCTCCCCGGCCACCAGAGGAGGGTCCCACATGGCGCGCAGACCTCTCCTGCCGCCCGCTGCTCCCCTCAGCAGTGTACTTCGGTCCTTCTGCCTGCTCTGCTCCCCGCTCTGGCTCTGGTGAATTCTCTCACCCTCCCGCGCTTCTGACTGTAACCAGTGCTTGTATAAATAATAAATAAATAAATCTTTAAAAAAAAAAAAAAATCCCCATCTTTGGTCTTTCTTGAAAACTGGCAAATTGGAAGCAGCAGCCTCCAGCCATAGCTCTGTTTGGGAGGCCTCCAGGGAGGCCGCTGTCTGATCCTGTTGTGGTGCCCAAGGCAACATACCTGAGCTGGCTTTCCCTCCACACTCATAATCATTAATTTTGAAGCTATTGTTCTAGTGAACAAATATTTATTGAGTGCTCACTTGGAGCAGGCCCTGCCTGGGTTCTGGGTATGGTGGCAAATAAGAGAGACCCAGTTTTGTCGGTCTGTTCTTATGGATCTAAACCATCCACTTGCTGGATGGCCCTGGATTCAAATATTCTTCTGCTCCATCCCAGTCAAAGGACACAGGGCCAGCACCTTGCCTTCCTGAACCTCAGTTTTCTCAATTATAAAATGGGAGCTAAGCATAAAACTAAAACTGGTGAAAGAGCAGGTACTGGAAACTAGGAGGTATGTATGTGGCATGGGTGTTTACAATCAGCATGAATGTACTATATCATCAGTGGAGGGGATCCAACTAATGTGGGCGTATACCTTAGGTATGGGGGTATTGCCAGTCTGGGGCATACAGTCAAGAGTGGTATTATAAATCCCCACACCTACCAACCACCCCCATGCAGACTATATTCCCTGTATTATGTGCCTGTTCTCACCTAACCTCCTAAAAGTCCTTGGGGCCAGCCATACCCTTTACAGTACAGTCAACTATACTGTCAGTATGGGATACAGTTAGCAAGAATGGGGTTATACAGTGTGGTCATTCACAGTTGGTGCTCAATAATTGTAGCTGCTACCTCAGTCAGGCACCCAGGCGGGGCCCTGTCACTAACATACATTCTCCCTTGAGGAATGCCTCCACCTTTCCCCCACAGTGGACTCTAGCTACTCAGCTCCCGCCTGACCCCTGGCCCACAGATGTCAGCTAACAGGTGAGGCCCTGGGCTCCAAACCATCACTTTGGATCACCAGGACTCCCCAAAATATCTTTCATTTTAAGAGGTGGCTGCCAAGCCAAAGGCTGCTGGCCCCCACCACACCCATTCAGGACAGTGGGCAGATAGATGGTTCAGGCCAGGCACAGGCTGCTTCCTTTCTTCTCTTCCCAGCTACACAAGGTCCCTTGGGGACAGTAGTTCAGGTTCAGGACTTCAATCACCAGCTCCACCTTGATGGCCCCCACCCCCACTCAAGCTGCATATCCCTGTGTGACTACTGCCTGCCCGCACATCATGTGAAAATCTCATGGGCACCACACACGTAGCCAGATCACATCAGAGCCATCCCCTGGTCACCACTGACCATCCCCTCAACTTGCCCCATCTCGGAAATGGCATCTCCATCCACGGAAGTGATGAGGTCAGAAAGCCACTCTCCTTCCCATTAGTTCTACCTTCAGAATCTATCCAGAATCAAACCAATTATCACTCTCACCTTTGTCATAATGCCATCTCTGCCTGGTCTCCCAGTGTCAACCCTCACCTTCAACTATCTGTTCCCTCCACAGCAGTCAGAGGAGTGCCAGAGTCATACCATAGCCCTTCTCTGCCCAGAATCCTCCACGGCTCCCACCTCATTCAGAGCAAATGTCCAACTTTGGTATGTAAGTTGGAAAGCCTTCACTGTCAGGTCCCAGATCAGGCTGCCCCTTCTGTGCCCAAGTAACATACCGATTATTTTTTTTTTTTTTATTTGTTTGTTTATTTGTTTATACATGCACTGGGTACAGTCAGAAGCGCGGGAGGGTGAGAGAATTCACCAGAGCCAGAGCGGGGAGCAGAGCAGGCAGAAGGACCAAAGTACACTGCTGAGGGGAGCAGCGGGCGGCAGGAGAGGTCTGCTCGCCATGCGGGACCCTCCTCCGGTGGCCGGGGAGCAGCCGAGGATCGAACCGGCGCGGCAGAGGCCGCGGGCAGCTTCGCAACCCAGCGCTCAACCGCTGCGCCACCGGGGAGGCCCTAACATACCGATTATTTTAAATTAAAGAAATAGTCGGTGGATGAACGATGCGCTAAACCTCCCTTTCTCCCAAGAGCAGGAGTTTTCTCTGGCCTTCCTCCTCAGTTCCCCCTGAATGCAGGAAATAAACCTCTAAATCAAATGTGCCCTCCCTGCAAGGGAGACACAGAGATGTTTATCTTCAGAGACAGGGAGGGGAAGCTGTATAAACAAGTCCTACTTTAGCTCATTACATTCGTTGTCCAAAGTAGAACTTGCAAGAATTTCTTTGTACTGCCTCTTCTTGAGATTGTTGCTTCTTTGTCTAGAAGTTATTATTAAAACCAGTTGTTTTGGTTATTCATTAGGTGCCATATTGTATGGATTCCCATGTACACAAAATTTCATTTGCTTTTTTCTTGGTAATCTCTCTACCATCAATTTATTATTGGGCCAGCCAAAGGACCCAAAGGACTTGAGGAGGAAATCCCCCACTAAACTTTGCCTACATTATCAAGGCACACAAGGCCCTGAACACGCCTCTCTGCCCCCTTCCTGCCCTTGCCTCCTCCCACTTTTCCCTTTGCTTGCTCTGTTACAGCCTCACCACCTTACCGGTATAAGCCTCAGGCCCTTTGCAAGGTCTAGTCCCTCTGCCTAGAAAGCTCCTCCCCAAGGTCTCTTCTTGGCTCCACCTCTCTTAGACATTGCTCAGTCAGCTCTTCAGAAAGGTTTTCTCTGACTACCGTATCTACAATGGTGCCCCTTTTCCCTCTATAACATTTTTTTTTAAGATTTATTTATTTAATCAAGCCTACAAGAACTGGAGAACAGGCCACAGATGCAGGGGGCGAGAGGATTCACCAAAGAGAGTGGGGAGTAGAACAAGCAGATCTGAGCAGCAGGCGAGACAGGAGATGTCTGCTGCACCATGTGGGTGAGCTCCCTGGCCAGGGATCGAACTCGTGCTGCAGTGGCTGTGGATAGCTTCGGATAGCTTCACAGTGCTGCGTCTTAACCCCTTGAACCACCAGGGAGGCCCTATTTTGTTTCTTATCAGTAACATTTACATATTGTTTACTGTCGGCACTCAGGAAATATTTGTTGAATAAATAGCCACAGTATGTCAATCATGTGTATATAACTAAGACTGAAAATAAAAATGTAGTTTAGAATTTTCTATGTGTAGATTTTTTTTTTTAAGATTTATTTATTTTTATACAAGAGCTGGAGTACAGGCCAGAGGCGAGGGAGGGTGAGAGGATTCACCAGAAACAGAGCAGGAGCAGAACAGGTAGACGACCGAAATATACTGCTGAAGGGAGTAGTGGGTGCGACAGGAGAGGTCTGCCATGCCATGTGGGAATCTCCCTGGCCAGCCGGGAATCAAACCCTTGCTGCAGAGGCTGCGGACAGCTTCATAGTGCTGTGCTCAACCTGCTGTGCCACCAGGGAGGCCCTATGTGTGTATATTTAAAATTTCAATTTTTAACTTTCATATGGACAAGAATTTCATCCATGATAGTGTGGAATTTCCATTTGGCAGGAAAGGATAAACCAGTTAGTAGCCCTGACTCTGCATTTGGAAGAAAATAAAGTTAACTCCACCCCTCCCCCCAACAGATAGCAAAAAAAGAAAAAAATTCCATGTGGATTAGTCATGCAAATATATAAAAACTCAAAACGATGACAAATATGGAGGAAAGACATAGGAGCGTGTTTTTGCCAACTGATGGGTTAGGTGGGTGAAGAGAGAGAAAGGAGCACCAGAAGTTTCTGGCATCAACTGAATGGCAGCCAGGCTAGGGGCAGCTGTATTAGAAGGGCTGGTGCTGATCAAGGAGCACCTTTTAGGCCCTGGATTGGTGCTTTTCACCAGGATGGGGGTGTTACCATCAACCCTGCTAGAAGCAAAATTTATAAATCCCAAATATGTCTTTTGGCATAAGGATTACTTTAGGCAGGTAAGTTTTTCAAACACATGAAGGACTCTAAAAGCCGGGTGCAGGCTATACTTTTGTAAGGGCATCTCACCTTTTGTAAGGTGCAGGCTATACTTTTGTATGGGGAAGACCAGGGCAGTTCAAATCTCTAAGGTAGCTAAGTGTAGGCCATGAGAAAGCAGCAACTTAAATAAGCCTAACGTACCCCTTCTTCCCTGTGACAACCTCTCCAGACTGGCCTTCTTCTCTCCTCTTTCCCTCACATCCTTTGTCTATAGTTGAAGATGTTATTTAAGGAAGTGACTTGAATCATTTCAGTGAGTTACTGTTTTTGCTGTCTCTTTCCCTTATGTTTTTCTTCTGTTAATCTGTCTGATGTTAATTTGATTATTCAATCTGCCTAGAAGAACCAAGAGGGGTATAGGATATTTCTTCTCTTCAACAACCAACATTTACAGTGGAGGAAAATAGTTAAGGGAGGGAAGCAGCTTGCCCAGTCACCTAGCACAAGTGGTCAGTCTCTATTTCAGGTTTCATGGGTAAGTGGGAGCCACTGAGGATATCTGAGAAAGAGCAGGACTAGGTCAAGTTGGGGAGAAGACAGACAGTGCTCAAGGAAACTGATGGCCTTTAATGAGACAACTGGGCCATGCTTTTGCTCAATGAACTTCATTTCTCTAGAAGATGGAACTGAAGCTGCAGAGAGGGGCACCTGGCATAAGCTTGGCTTGTTATAGGACAGGGAGAGGGGTAGCCCAAGCCCCGCAAACCTGCCTATTCTAAATGGGTTCTGCCATCCGCCGCATCAACACAAAACATAGGAGACTTTAATGGGAAGGAACTTTAATAAAACTAGGAAACAATACAGGTAAGGCAAAGAGTCTAGTTTCTAAATGAAGCACCCAAAGTTACCCATCCCCTCGTGGGTAAAAGTCCATCCAAATGGGATTGGCCCAGAGCAAAGTCCCAAAGCCTGCCACAAGTCTAAAGCATCTTCCAGTGGGGACCCACAGCAAAGGGTCAGAAATAACCAGACAAGCCCAGAAGGAAAAGAGCAAAATCAACATCAAGATAAAAACTGCCATTGTCACCTCCCCATGGGTCTCACCCACATCTGTGTCACCCAGTCTACGACCAAAAGACAAGCGCAGTTTCTTCACGTGTCTCTAGGCTCCATGCGCCTCCTCCAGGTCTCCTGGCTCCATCCTGCTTCCTTCCTCAGTCTCTTCCTGCAGCTTCTCCTCTTCCTGCTCAGCTCCACCCTCCCTTGGGTGGGGCAGGGAACCTGGAACTTCCCCCTTTCCTGGGGACCACCCTGTTACAGGCTCAGGATCTCATCTTTTGGGCTCTTAGGAAACACAAGAGGGAACACTGGTACTGTCTTCTGATGGGTTAATTAACATTAACATTAAAGAGGGGGGGCCTCCCCGGTGGGTGGCGCAGCGGTTGAGTGCTGGGCTGCAAAGCTGCCCTCAGCCTCTGCAGTGCTGGCTCAATCCCTGGCGGCTGGTGAGGGTCCCACATGGCGTGCAGACCTCTCCTGCCACGCCCACTGCTCCCCTCAGCAGTGTACTTCCTCAATCTGCCTGTTCTGCTCCCCGCTCTGGCTCTGGTGAATCCTCTCACCCTCCCGCGGTTCTAACTATACTCAGTGCTTGTATAAATAAATAAATAAATAAACAAACAAATAAATAAATCTTTAAAAAAAAAAAAGAGGGGAAGGTAAATACTAATGGTTTCTGATAATTGAACCTGGTCCAAACCCTGCAGGATGAGAACTTGCTGAATCTTTGCAGTAGTGCAGCAAGGTTAAGAGAAAAAAAAAAAGGTGTGAATACGCCAATGTCCCTATTTGCTACAGACTAGGCACTCTTCTAAGTCATTACAAGGCATACCTCACTTCATCCTTACAGCAATTTTGTAAGGTTTAGTTTATCATTGCCACATTTGACACATGTAGAAATAGGCCCATAAAGGGCCTCCCTGGTGGCATAGGGGTTAAGTCTCAGTGCTATCATGCCCCAGCCAGGGAGCTAATCCACACATGTATGGTGCAGCAGACCTTTCCTGTCTCACCTGCTGCTCCCCTCAGGAGTGTATTTCAGTGGATCCACCTGTTCTGCTCCCCACTCCTCCATCTCTGGTGAATCCTCTCAACCCCTGTATCTCTGGTCTACACCCCAGTTATTGTATGCATAAATAAAAATAAATCTTGAAAGAAAGAAAAGAGAGAGAGAGAGAAATAGAGAGAAGGAGGGAGGGAGGGAGGGAGAGAGGGAGAGAGGGAGAGAGAGGGAGGGAGGGAGGGAGGAGGGGAGGGAGGGGAGGGAGGGAGGGGGAGGAAGGGGAGGGAGGGGGAGGGAAGGGGAGGGAGGGAGAGGGAGGGAGGGAGGGGAGGGAGGGAGGGAGGGGAGGGGAGGGGAGAGAGGGAGGGAGGGGAAGGAGGGAGGGGAGAGGAGGGAGGAGGGGGGAAAGAGGGGAGGGGAGGGGAGGGAGGAGGGAGGGGGAAGGAGGGGAGGGGAGGGAGGAGGGGGGGAAGGAGGGGAGGGGAGGGGAGAGGAGGGAAGGGAAGGAGGGAGGGAGGGAGGAGGAGGGGGAAGGAGGGAGGGAGGGAGGGAGGAGGAGGGGGAAGGAGGGGAGGGGAGGGGAGGGAGGAGGGAGGGGGAAGGAGGGGAGGGGAGGGAGGAGAGGAGGGGGAAGGAGGGAGGGAGGGAGGGAGGAGGAGGGAGGGGGGGAAGGAGGGAGGGAGGGGAGGAAGGGAGGGGAGGGAGGGAGGAAGGAGGCCCAGAAAGAAATAGTGTGCTATGGCCAGAAAGATGGTGAATAGCAGTGCAGCACCATCCACCTCCTGAGCTGGTGCCTGTATGAGTTTCCTGTGGTTGTTATAACAAATTACGACCAAGCAGATGGCAAATAACCACCAAGTAGGTGAAACAGCACAGATTTATTATTTCCTTGTTCTAGAGGTCAAATGTCCAAAGTGCATCTCATTAGGGTAAAATCAAGTTATTGGCAGAGCTGCATTCCTTCTGCAGACTGGGGAGAATCTATTCTAGCTTCTTGAAGCTGCTCACATTCTTAGGCTCATGCCCTCTTCCTCTGTCCTCAAAAGCAGCAGTCCCAGCAAGTCCACATCTGCCTCTACTGTGTCCTTCTCTGACTCCCCCTCCCTTTCCCTTATAAGGGCCCCTGTTCTTGGTTCCACACAGATAATCCAGAATAATATCACCATTTAAAAATACTTAATTTGGGGGCCTCCCTGGTGGCGCAGCAGTTGAGCGCTGAGTTGCAAAGCTGCCTGCAGCCTCTGCATTGTTGGTTCAATCCCAGGCCGCCAGGCGAGGGTCCCACATGGCGCACAGACCTCTCCTGCTGCCCATTGCTCTCCTCAGCAGTGCATTTCTTCGTCAGGCTGCCTGTTCTGTTCCCCGCTCTGGCTCTGGTGAATTCTCTCACCCTCCCGCGCTTCTGACTGTACCCAGTGCATGTATAAATAAATTAAAAAAAATAAATCTTAAAAAAAAAAAAAACTTAATTTGGCCTCCCTGGTGGCGCAAGGGGTTAAGACACAGCCTATAAAGCTATCTGCAGCCACTGCAGCACGAGTTTGATCCCTGGCCAGGGAGCTATCCACAGGGCACAGCAGACCTCTCCTGGCTCCCCCGCTGCTCTCCTCAGCAGTGTATTTCAGTTGATCTGCCTGTTCTGTTCCCCACTCTGTCTCTGGTGAATCCTCTCAACCCCCCTACCTCTGGCCTGTACCCCAGTTCTTGTATGCATAAATTAATCTTTTAAAAAATAAATAAAAATCCTTAATTTAATCCCATCTGTAAATTGCCTTTTGCCCAACATGTTTATAGGCTCGAGGAATTAGGATATGGGCATCTTGGTAGAGCAGGGGGTATTACTCTGCCAACCCCAATGCCTTAACTTCTTAGACCAGGGTCAGCAAACTGTCAGCAGTTGTGCAGATCCGCCCATCACCTGTTTTCATATGACCCTGAGCTGAGAACAGTCTTTACATTTTTATTTATTTATTTTTTTTTTAAAAGATTTATTTATTTATTTATACAGGCATGGCACTGGGTACAGTCAGAAGCATGGGAGGGTGAGAGAATTCACCAGAGCCAGAGCGGGGAGCAGAGCAGGCAGAAGGACCGAAGTACACTGCTGAGGGGAGCAGTGGGTGGCAGGAGAGGTCTGCGCACCATGTGGGACCCTCCTCCAGTGTCCGGGGAGCAGCCGGGGATTGAACCGGCGCTGCAGAGGCTGCGGGCAGCTTCGCAAACCAGCGCTCAACCGCTGCTCCACCGGGGAGGCCCAGTCTTTACATTTTTAAATGACAAAAAAAATCAAAAGAAGACTTTTGTCATGTATAAATTATGTGAAATTCAAACAGCAGGGGCCATAAATCAAAGTTTTCTTGGCACACAACCATGCTTGACAGTTTTCATGTAGCTTATGGCTACTTTCAGGCTACAGAGGCAGAGTTGTATAGCAGCAATAGAGATCCTATGTGATCCCCAAAGCTGAAAATATTTACTCTCTCACTCTAGACGTAAGATGTCTGCATGGCCTACCCCCACCCCAGGTCTCTAGGCCATGAACCAACATGTGCTGTGCCTAAGTCTGAGCCAGAAAGGTGCAATGTGCTCTCCTGGTGCTAGCGGTATCACACAGGGAGGGGAAACCCACAGTGCTTTCCCTCGCTAAGCTGCTGTGTTCCTGTCTGGAGAATGGAACTAATACTTGCATTTATTTCCTAGGTGTTATCAGGACTCAATGCTCAAAAAGCACGCAGCACAGGTCTAGGGTACAAAGCTTCAACCATCCTTGTAATGTGCCCCTTTTTCAGAGAGGGGACAAATTGAGGCTGCTTGCTGAGACCACTTAGCTGGTGAGGGGTGGCCCTGTGAATCAAAACAAGACTGCCTGACTGCACCCAGGCCTTTTCACCGGTGGATACCAGGAGAGGCAGAACAGAAGATTCACAATGGTGGGGGCGGGTGTGGGAAAGTTGGCTATTCAACCAGCCTGGTATGGAAGATAGAGGTGACCCTGGGGTCCCAGACTTATTGGGCACGATGGCCGGCCCCCGCCCCCAGCACAGTGTGTGTAGAAGATAAGGGAACTGATACATGCTGCCCAGTCACGATGCTGGTGCTGGGACACCAAGTGCCACCCAGACCCGGCGGATTCCAAACACCAGCCAAGTACCCAAGGCCTCGCCCACGCAGTCAGGCCAGCTCACCCTCCTCTTCCCAGAAGTCTGTGCCTGGGAAATGGTCATCCCACCACACAGACGAGTCCCCTTGATGAAGGGCTTGGGGACAGCATTCACCTAGAAGTGATACATGCAGTCACAATGCTAAGAGCAAAAGATAAGTGCCTACATTGTGCAGGGCACCAAACAAGGCATTTACTTCTAGGAATTCATTGAATCTCATAATGAGCCTCTGAGGGCAAATGGCACAATCAAGAAACTGAGGCACAGAAATGCTTCATGACTTGCCCAAAATCCCACAACCAATAGCAGCTGGGATTTGAACTCTGCTCCTGACACCTTTCTTACCTTTCTCTTGAGCTCTGTGTGGTGTGAACAACTCCCACTAACTGGATATTTATAATGCATCAAGCTTTGGACTAAATGCTCTACCCACATCAGTTCACCCTACCCTCCTGGCAGCCCGGATAAGGAGCTGGTACTGTTAGCCCCATTTTATGGAGAGATAAATTGAGGCACAAGTACATGGAAAGTATATATAGGAAATTTTCAGGATACAAAAGGCATATAGTAAAACAGAGCTGAGAAGAGAAGAACTGGGACTGGAACAGAGCCCACAGTAGGTTCCAGAACCTGGCTGAGAGGCAGAAACTTGTGGTTAGCTTTTTTTTTTTTTTTTTTGAGATTTATTTATTTTTGTGTAGAAGAACTGGAGTGCAGGCCAGAGGTGTGGGGGGCGGGGGTATGTGTGTAAGAGGATTCACCAGAGACAGAGTGGGGAGCAGAACAGGCAGATCTACTGAAATACACTGGTAAGAGGAGCAGAGGCGGAAGCAGGAGAGGTCTGCTGTGCCATGTGTATTAGATCCCTGGCTGGGGATCGAACTCAGGCCGTTGTCAAGGTGGGCCTTCAAGGGTGGTAGCACTGAGACTTTGACCCCTAGGCCACCAGGGAGCACCCCCCTTAGTTTTTTTGGTAGACATGTGCTCAAAGACTTAGCACTATGGTGCCAGCTGGTTCATGCCCCCTCCATTATAGCCATCACCCGTGTCTTGGTCTCCTGGCTCTAACATTGCACCCATAGAGGCCAGAGGGTACCCATGGACTCCTGCATCAGGTAAGTCCCCTCCTCTGCTCAGAGCTCTCAGTGTCCTCCATTTTTCTCAGAAGAAAAGCTCAAGTCTTCCCCATGGCCCACAGGCTCTGTATACTCACCCCTCCCATTCCTCACCTCCACTCCTACCCCTTGAACCCTCCACTCAAGTCACACAGGTTTCCTCACTGCTTCTCAAGCTCCCAAATGTTCCCACCCCAGGATCTTTGCACAGGCTATGTCCTTTGCCTGAAACACTACTAGGCTCCCCCTTCATTCCTCTGGTCACCACAGGATGGCCCTTCCTAATCCCCCTACTTAAAAACTTAAACTCCCACCTCCAGGCCTTATAGATCACTCCCACCCCTTTTTGCTGCTCTATTTTTTCCCCTGGGCCCTTCTCTGACACCCTGAGAATTTTCCTCACTCAAGTTAATTTCTTGTCTGTTTCCTTTCCTAGAAGCTAACCCCACAAGTGTGGCGCCTGTTGTATCTCCAGGGACTAGAACACTATTGGGTAACTGCACAGTGTTTGCTGAAGGAAGTTATGAATGGATTTGTTGATATTAAGTCACCTGTATGCTTACCAAGATAAAAAAATTTAACCAGAACAACCCTTTCGATTAATAGAAATCACTCTCCCTCTTATCGTTGGCCCAGAGTCCTTACTTCCTCTCTGTGAGGCAGTTCCTCTCACGGGTTTCCCTTCCCCTCTTCCAGAATCTGTCCACAGTACATGCCATAAGCAGTTTGCAGCCATTCATCCCCCAGTTTTGTAACAGTTCTCACTTTTCTAGTTCACGAACTCATAATTGGCCATCATTTCCCAGCAGCCTACTTAGCTACATCATGTTTTTACAAGGCAACATAGTATTCCACAGTGAGAACAGTACCATTTTTCATTAAACCAGCAGATGACACCCATACACACCCACACACATGGACATTAATGGACTATGCTGAGCAAGGAGACTTCTTGGCTGTGTCACCTCAGGGTGAGGACAGCTGGTCAAGAGTATGTGAAGGGTTTCTTTCACATGGAAGGTAACAATTTTCTGTGCGGTTCAGGGCTTATTTTTCATTTTCAGCCGCCACCCTGTTCCAATGGAAAGAATATATTAATTTTGTTATATGAGTTTAAAATAACTTTCCTTGGACCTCCCCAGTGGCACAGCGGGTTGGGCACAGCACTGTGAAGCTGTCCACAGTCTCTGCAGTGTGGGTTCGATTCCCAGCCGGCCAGGGAGATACCCACATGGTGCAGTAGACCTCACCTGTCTGGCCCGCTGCTCAGATCTGCCTGTTCTACTCCTCACTCTCTCTGGTGAATTCTGTCACCCTCCCGTGCCTCTGGCCTATACCCCAGTTCTTGTATAAACAAATAACTCTTTATATAAAAAAAAACTCTCCTTGGTGATGACCATAATGTAGTATATACAGATGCTGATTTATAGTGCTGTGTACCTGGGACTTATAAAATGTTATAAACTGATGTTACATCAATAAAAAAATTTTTTAAGCCCTCCTTTTGGGAACTGACTAGGAAGGAGCATAAGAGAACTTTCTGGGGTGATGGGAAGGTTCTGTAACAGATCTGCAATCTTTTCCCTACTAAGGACAAGATATTAAATATTTTAAAAAGTGTGGTGTTTCCCATATCAGCCCCTCTTAATTTATTTTATTTTCTCTTTTTTTTCTTAAAGATTTTATTTATTTATTTTTGCATAGAAGAACTGGGGTATAGGCTAGAGATGTGGGAGGATAAGAGGATTCACCAGAGACAGAGTGGGGACCAAAACAGACAGATCTACTGAAATACATTGCTGAAGGGAGTAGCGGATGAGACAGGAGAGGTCTGATATGCCATGTGGGTTAGCTCCCTGGCTAGGGATGGAACTCGTGCTGCAGTGGCTACAGATAGCTTCGTAGTACTGAGACAACCATCAGAGAGGCCCTGTTTCAATAAACATTTATTTATTTATTTATTTATTTATTTAAAGATTTATTTATTTATGCAAACAAGAGCTGAGGGACAGGCCAGAGGTGTGGAGTGCGGGAGGATTCACCAGAGACAGAGTGGAGAACAGAACAGGCATTGACCGAAGTACACTGCTGAGGGGAGCAGCAGTTGAGTCAGGAGAGGTCTGCTGCGCCATGTGGGTCACCTCCCTAGCCGGGGATTGAACTCATGCTGCATGGCTGCAGATAGCTTCATAGTGCTGCATCTTAATGTTACTCTTGCACCACCAGGGAGGCCTCAATGAACTTTTTAAAAAAAAAAGATTTATGTATTTATTTATACAAGCATTGGGTACAGTCAGAAGCGCGGGAGGGTGAGAGAATTCATCAGAGCCAGAGCAGGGAACAGAACAGACAGACTGATGAAATACACTGCTGAGGGGAGCAGCGGGCGCGGTAGGAGAGGTCTGTTGCACCATGTGGGACCCTCGCCTGCGGCCGGGAGCAAACCGGCCCTGCAGAGGCTGCGGGCAGCTTCACAGCCCAGTGCTCAACTACTGTGCCACCACGGGAGGGCCCCCAATGAACTTTTAAATATTCCCTGTGCTTGATTCAAGATAAGGTGGTCTACCCACAAATACACTATTTGACGCAATTGTCAACAACAAAAAGATTGAGGAAGCTTTCCAGGCACTGATGTGACAGGTCATCTCAAAGCCATATTAACCCCCCCAAAAAAAGCAACATACAAGACAAACACCTCTTATTCAACAAATATTTGTTGAGCTCCTATTATGTGCCACACACTGTGGACATATCATCAAACAAAAGAGACGTGAGTCCTGCCTCATGAGGCACTAGAGGGATTTGCTGACATTGCTGTGAAAGAGAAAAAAACAGCCACTGACTTAAGAACATGTATATAATTGCATGTGAATGTCTAAGGCCTGCACTCTGTCTGGAAGGAAACACAAGATGTCATACTGCTGATGAACACCAAGAAGGGAACTTGGTATTAGGGGAGGAAGAGAGAGACTGTTCATGATAAAGTCACAAAATCTTCACATCTTTTGTATTTTGAAGCATGTGAATGTATGATCTCAAAAAAAATAACTGAGGGCCTCCCTGGTGGCGCAACGGGTTAAGACGCAGCCTATGAAGCTGACCACAGCTGCAGCTACTGCAGCACAAATTCAATCCCTGGCTGGCCAGGTTGCTACCCACATGGCACAGCAGACCTCTCCTGACTCGCCCGCTATTCCCATCAGCAGTGTATTTCAGTCAATCCACCTGTTCTGTGCCCCACTCTGTCTCTGGTGAATCCTCTCACCCTACCCCCCACCTCTGGTCTGTACCCCAGTTCTTTTTTTTAAGATTTATTTATTATGCATACAAAAGCTGGGGTGCAGGCCAGAGGTGGGTGTGTGTGTAGGGGTAAGAGGATTCACCAGAGATAGAGCAGGGCACAGAACAGGCAGATCAACTGAAGTACACTGCTAAGGGGAGCAGCAGGCGAGTCAGGAGAGGTGTGCTGCGCCAGGAGGGTTGCTCCCTGGCTGGCCAGGAATCAAAGGTATCGAACTTGTGCTGCAGAGGCTGCAGACAGCTTCACAGGCTGCGTCTTAACCCTTGCGCCACCAGGGAGGCCACAGCACCCCAGTTCCTGTATGCATAAATAAATCAATCTTTAAAAAAAAACTTTGAAATTAACAAATACATACTCCCAGCAATATTTTAAAAACACCAGATGCCAGAACCCCAGGGTCAGCTGAGTTGGACTGTAACAAACAGGGTCATGGAAACTGGTTTTTAAACAATCAACATAGTTTTCTCCGCCCAGATTCCCCACTTCAGAGTCTATTGTTTTAAGTTCTAGAATGATTTTCCCCTGTTGCTTATGCTGAGGGTGGATGGGAGGGTTGGTAATAATCCGTTCAGCCAGGAGTCATTTCCCAATTCCCCTGAGAGCCGGAAAGGGCTCCTCTAAACATGCTGTCTGCCAAGAAGGGAGCTTCCTGCCCTACCCAGTCTCAGTCTACATCTTGACAGAGAGGGCTTCATCAGCTCATGGAAAACCCAAGTCCCCAGGATCCCTGGAGCGGGAGTTCCAGAGCATGCAGAGCTAAGGCACAGGCACAGAACAAATATTCCCACCAGCCAGTGTGGTGTGCCCAGCCCTACAGACAATGAAACATTCTCACCCAGGGTCCCACAGGTCAGAGCCTGGATTTGAATTTGTATCTGCCTGATGTCACCCCTGAAATTCACAGAAGCCACTGGGGTACAAGGAAAGACTACATGAACCACTCCTGCACACTGCTCCAAAGGAAAGTTCCTCATTATCTGGCAGGGACTTCACAGGGCAGCCCCAGGTTCTTGGTTCTGATGAGACTAGACTATTTACAAGCTAAGTGAGACGCCCCTCTCCCATGTCAAAGAGTCAACCCCATGTGGCCTCTCACAAACAGCTGAGGGCTTGGCTGTAAGCAAGACCTAGTTGAAATCACCTCGGGCTCTGCTAGGCCTCACAGAGAAATAATGCAACAACCACAATAATTCCTGTGGTTAATTTGCTGTTCCCTCTGCCTTGAACACATTTATCCCAAATCTTCCCACAGCTGTCAGCTCAGCCTCTAGCCTTTAGTCACCTAAAATCATCCCTGATAATTCTCCCATGCATACAGTGTTCTATTCTTTGCTTAATGCTTACAACAATCTGAGTTTACAAATGTATTCCTTTGTTCAATCCCCATCTCAAGGATTTTTCTGTTTTGGTCACTGCAAGATTCTTAGTGTAAAGACCCTGCCTGTAACATGCTCAGTCAGCACCTGACAGAGTGTGCATTGGGAACACATCACAGAGTGTTAGGCACAGAGGTCTCCCCAAACCAGATATGAGTGTGGCAAGCCTGGGAGGGTTAGTTGAGGTCATCCATGACTATCTCCCTTCAGCCAAGTTCAAGACTGTGTGAATCATATCATCCTCCACTCCAACCTCCAGTCAGACCTCAAGGAGACCAAAGGCCCCTCAGGTGCTCCCCAGAACAAGATTCCCAGATCAGAGACAACCAGCCACACCCAAGGGACACAGCACAGCACTGAGCAGCCACAGGATCTGGGGTTTTAGCCATAACCAAGAGCAAAGGGGCCCCTCAGGAGGTGGGAGCTGGCAGCTTCAAGCAGGGAGGGGAGTGGCTGGGCAGTGGCAAGCTCCCCAGCCTCCCTCTTGGCAGGATTGGGTAGGGAGGGTCCCAGCCCTCCCCATCTGTCTCTCTGCAGTCTCCTGAGGACACAGTCCCTGGTGGAGGGGCACAGCTCTAGTCTACATGTTTCTCATGATTATTTTTAAGTGGTTTCCGGACCCCTCCCAGAGGCTTTTGAGTCTCACAGTTTCCAGGAAGTCCCCATCACACAAGGGGGGGCCGCAGGGGGCAGGGCAGTGCCACCTGGGTGTGTGGCGAGATCAGTCTTGGGGACCCAAAATGAATAAGAGGAAGGAGACACTGAGGCCCCTATCCCCTCCCGTGGGAACCCGGGGAAGGGATGCACCTTGGGGGCCTGTGAGGAGAGTGGGGAGGAGGCCTTATTTTGGCTCCTTCCCTGGGGGGTGCAGAGGCGAAGCCCATGCTCAGAGGTTCTCCGGAGTGGGTCCCAGTGCCAGCCCGGAGAAACCGAAGTGTGCAGCTCAGTCCCTCGCAAAGGGCGAGGAAAGTTTCTCAATTGTTTCCGTTTTTGCTCCTGGCCCCTCACCATAGGCGCCCTGGTTTCTGCCCTTTCCAGGCTGCGAAAGAGACCTGATGGGCTTCCACCCCAGAAATCGGTCTGCCCAGTGTTGCCTCAGTTTCCCCATCTGAGCGAAAGCCCCAGACGGCTACTTCTAGGGGAATATGGCCAGGAGGAAGAAGTAGACAAAGGAAACTGGAGGGGGATCTGGTGAGGTCCGGGCTCTGCCCCTTTCGAGCCCTGGTTGCTGTCTCCCCTCCCCCGCCTGGCATCTGAGCCGCCCAGATAACGGGACCTCTCTGAGTAGAGCATGCGCCGTGCGTCCCGGCCCATCAGCCGGTAGGGGGGCGAGGGCTCCCGGGAGGGAACACGAAGCGACCCGACGGGAGCAAGGGGGTTGCAGACTCTCTGCACAGAGGGGAAAGGCGGGCTGGAGAGCTTCAGCTGCAGCGCGGGTATGTAAGAGCTCAGATGTCTGTCCCCTCCCCCAAAATCCATCAACTCAGTAGAGGCGACCCCCGGGCAGAGGTTGCTCCTACCGTAGGCTCCGTCCTTCCGCGGGTCCTCCATGGTAGCGGCGGGCAGGGAGGAGAGTCCGAGCCAGCGCGACCCCAGCCCGCGCGGGCGGGAAGCTCCGCCGGCTGCAGCGCCCCGCCCCGGGCCCGGCCCCGCCCCGCCCCGCCCCGCCAGCCCGTCTGGCCAGTCCCGGCGCGCAACCTCCAAAGAAGGCACCCGAGCGGGGGGCGGGGTCGAGGGCAGGGCCGGGGAGGGGAGGGTGGGGCTCCAACCTTTGTTTCCCGTCTCTGCTCTCCCCAGCACACTTCACCGTGTGTTGGGGGGGCAAGGAGAAGTCATTCATGGGCCCATTCATCCATTCATTCTTTCCTTCATCACATAGATAATAAACGTTGTTTGTCAGTGAACAGACAAAAAGATGCATTTCTTCATTCATCAAAATGGCAAGAATGTTAGAGTTTGGTAACATCAAGCCGTATAAGCAAACACTGTGGGCCAGAGTGTTCTCTGGCAGAAAGATTAAATCCAAATCGTGTTCACCCGGTATGAGTCTTCTCTACCATTAATCCTAAATAAGCCATCGAAGGTATGTGTACATGCCAAGCACATGCCAAAGGGTGTTACCTGTAGCTCTGACAGTTACTGTAAAAAATGGGGGAGAACAGAGGTGTTCACCAACAGAGGATGCATACAACACAATGGTGTTGTCCCAAGAGAGAATGCCATGCAGTGGATAAAAAGAATGATGTCATGAGGAAAAGCAAATTAAAATTCAACAACGTACCATACACACTCACCAGTGGAAATGCAAAAAGATGCAACTACTTCCCAATTTTTTTTTAAAGTTAAACAGTCACCTGCTATATGTCCCAGTTCTTCTATTCCTAGGTATTTACCTTCCCACCCCAAAACAGAACTACTAAAAGAAAAGAAAAAAAAAAACCACATGTTCATAGCAGCTTTATTCATAATGGCCAAAAACTGGGAGCAACCCAATTATTCATCAGCAGGTGGATGAGTCAACAAACTGAGCCATACAGGGAACACTCCAGCCCTAAAGAGCATGAACTATCAGTAAGTGCAACAGTATGGATACATCTCAAAATAGGCATTATGCTGAGGGGTGGGGGAAGCCAGACACTTGTTGAAGTTGTAGGACAGGCGTGGCTAATCAACCTGTAACAGAAGAAACCTAGCAGTCCTCTTTGCAGGTGATAGGTTCTGGTGGGGCCAGAAGGGAGGCTGGGGGGTGGGGGTAACAAGGGGTACTGGAAACAGGCTTGTGGTTACCAGTGGGTTCAGTTTGTAACAGTTAATTGACTTCTGCTCTTTCTTAATATATATTTCCTTTTTTAAAATGGAAAGAATTTAATAGTCAAACAAAGGAGGTGGCCCTGCAGGTTATAACAAGAGGGAATGTTTATAGAGCCTTTACTCAGCATCAGACAGGGTATTAAGTGTTTTACATTAAATCTTTATAACCAGGGCCTCCCTGGTGGCACAAGGGGTTAAGACACAACCTATGAAGTTATCCACAGCCACTGCAGCACAAGTGTGATCCCCAGCCAGGGAGATACCCACATGGCACAGCAGACCTCTCCTGTCTTGCCCACTGCTCCCTTTATCAGTGTATTTCAGTCTACCTGTTCAGTTCCCCACTCCGTCTCTGGTAAATGCTCTCACCCCCAACACCTCTGGCCTGTACCCCAGTTCTTGTATGAATAAGTAAAATAAATCTTAAAAAAATAAATCTTTATAACCATTTTCCAGTTGGGAAAACTGACATAGCAAGGTCAAGTAATTTACTCACAGTCACACAGTTAGTGAGTGAATTTGGGTACAAGGATTTGAATCCATGGAATCTGAATTCACAACCCACTTATGCTTCACAGCCTGCCAGCCGTACCCAACGATAACACATCTAGACTTTAAGTCATATTGGTGAGGAAAAACAGCAAGTTGTATTTAGTCCTTTAGTCTTGATGGGAAAGAGAGGAAATAACATCTCCTCTCTCTCTCTCTCTCTCTCTCTCTCTCTCTCTCTCTCACACACACACACACACACACACACACACACACACACACACACACCACACACGTTACTTTGCAGAAGAAGATCCGAATATGCCCGAGGTCATCAGAGGGGCCAGGATGAAGCCTTTCATTTATTTATTTATTTTTAAAAAGATTTATTTATTTATTTTTATAGGAGAACTGGGCTACAGGCCAGATGTGCAGGAGGGTGAGAGGATTCATCAGAGTCAGAGCAGGGAACAGAACAGGCACACTGACGAAATACACTACTGAGGGGAGCAGTGGGTGAGAGACAGGAGAGGTCTGCAGCACCATGTGGGATCCTCACTGGCCAGCTGGGATTGAACTGGGGCTGCAGAGGCTGCGGACAGCATCATCACAGCGCCGCGTTCAACCCCCTGCACCACCAGGGGAGGCCCTTTTCATTTTTTAAAGATTTATTTTATTTATTTGTGCATATAAGGACTGGGGTCTAGTCCAGAGGTGTGGGGGGCATGGGTAAGAGGATTCACCAGAGACAGAGTGGGGAACAGAACAGGCAGATTGACTGAAATACACTGCTGAGGGGAGCAGCAAGTTAGACAGGAGAGGTCTGCTGTGCCATGTGGGTCAACTCCCTGGTTCTGGCAATAGCTTGACAGTGCTGAGACTTAACAACCTGCACCACCAGGGAGGCCCATGGAGACTTTTTTTTTACCCATAGTGTTCTCTTTTTCTCTCACTCTCTCTGAGAATGTTTTAATATGCTTATTGAGTAATTAAAACTATATCTCAAAAAATAGATTTATAAACCATTCACAAGAGGACAAATATGTATGATTCTACTTTACAAGGTTACTAGAAGAGTCAAATTAATATACACAGAAGGTAGAATTGTAGGTGCTAGAGACTGAGGGACAGAGTTTCCGTTGAGGAAAGTGAAGAGAGTCTTGGGCACAGTGGGTGCACAACACTGTGAATGTGTTTAACGTCCTGAGATGGACACAAAAAATGGATAAAATGGTAAATTTAACATTATTCATATTTTACCACAATAAAAGTTTTTTTTTAAATATTTATTTATTTATTTTATGCAAGCGCTGGGTACAAGTCAGAAGTGCAGGGGTGGGGGGGGGCAGTGAGAGAATTCACCAGAGCCAGAGCGGGGAACAGAACAGGCAGAGTGACGAAGTACACTGCTGAAGGGAGAGGTTTGCGTGCCATGTGGGACCCTTGCTGGCGACTGGGGATCGAACCGGTGCTGCAGAGGCTGTGGGCAGCTTCGTAACCCAGTACTCAACCGCTGCGCCACTGGGGAGGCCCCCACAATAAAAGTTTTATGATACAAAACAGCTGTGAAGGGGACCAGGGACACTGGGAAGGCCCAGAGCAGGGATCTGAACTAGACATGGGGTGGAGACTTGAGAACTGAATGAGAAAGTGAAGAAAGCAAAAAAAAAAAAAAAAAAAAAAAAGGGGGGGGAATCAGGCATGGGGCACTGGAGGGGTCAGGGGCCAGAGGAAAGAGCAAAAAACAAAGAGGAACTGCAATTAGGGAAGTCAGTGGGTTCAAGTAGAGCCTCATGGGAGAGGTAGGTCAGCAGGGGTTGCCAGGCAGAGCAACCCCAAGGCAATGGGGAACCATGAGGGGTGTGAGAGGGAGGGAGGGACATACAACAGTGATTTTCAGAGTGATCCCTTTACAAGGTCTCCCTGGTTTGGAGAAGGGATCTAGAAGCAGGCTGCAGGCATCTAGGAGGAACTGGGGCAAGGCCATAGCCTCTGGGGACTGGGTAGGTTGCAGCAGGGGGTGGGCTGTTGGTCACACAGAGCTGCTCTGTTCTCTGACCCCACTGCAGCTTTTGGGCTCATGAATTTTTCAGCCAAACAGGCCTTGAGTTTCAGATTCCAGGGCGCTGGGCCCAGGCTTCTGGGTTTTATTTACTGCCTGAAAATATCTCAGGGCCCCAAGAGAAGGGTCAGTTTGAAGGTCAATGAGACCTGGGCTGAGGGCCTGGCAGTGAATGTAGTTCCCACCTTCTGAGTGTGTATTGGGGTGGGGTGTAGGAGAGGTCCTCGTTTTTTGGACAGAAGCAGCGCAAAACTTTGGACTTTGCAGGAGTATAATCCCAGCAATGCCACTGCTGATTGGATGACTTTATACAAGTCATTCGCTTTCTGAGCCTCAGCTTCCCTATCTGTCAAATGGAGACAATAGGATTCCCTAACTCAAAGCAGTTTTTCAAGGAGAATTCCCAAATGAGAGGCGGTCAGGGCAGTGCTGGGCACAGTGAGCACCATATACATGTTAGATATTGTTAATAATCCCAAGTAATACAACTGACCCTTGATCAACAAGGTTTTGAACTGTGCAGGTCCACCGATACGTGAAATTTTTTTCCTATCTGTGGATTGCAGATTCACAGATTGAACTGGTTGAGTTCGAAGATGTGGAATCTGCACATATGAAGGGGGTGGACTACAAATTACAAGTGGATTTGTGACTGCTCAAGAAGTCAGTGTTCCAAACCCTACTTCTTGAGGCCTGTTCAAGCCTCAATTGTACTTGTATCCTGCAACATAGCAAAGTTGTTTAAAGAAGGCTGGGACCCAGCTGTGACTCAGACTCAAATTCTGGCTCAACTGTCCCCTGACTGTGGGGGGTGGGCAAGGAGCTTGAGCAAGTGGGGGTCACCTCTCTGTGCCTTTGCACAGCAACAAGAAGTATAGAAAGAAAATGTTCCAAGGATCTGCATTACTACAATCATTATCATTTTCTGGTCCAAGTTCGTTGCCATTGGAAAGAGGAGTGGGCCTTTCTGATAGTTGCTGCCCTCTCATTCCCCTTCCTCAAGTCCCTTGCAGGGGCACCCCCTCCTTCTGGCTGATAAAGGTCTGTGGCTGGGTTTGGGAAAGGGGGATGAGTCCTGGGAGAACTGAGTGTCTCTCCCTGGAGGTCCAAAGGCCCTCCCTCTTTCTGTGGAACAGAATGGGTCCCAACCAGGCAAAGATTTAATTTTCCTTTCTTTCCCTCCAGCCCCCAAATTCCCTGCAGCTATGATTGCACAATCTTGGGGTAGAACCTGAAAGCACAGTGGCTGATCATAAGGAGCGTA